TTTTTTTTTTTGGTGAAAATACACATAGCCAAAGATACACCATTTCAAAAATTTCTACATGCACAGTTCAGTGACATTGACTACGCTCTTCGAATTAAGATGAAGGCTTACAGAACAAAATAATTTCACAGTTACTACAAATGTTGCCCTATGACAATGGTTAACAATTTCACAACACATCAACAATATCCTTACTCAACCTTGGGTTCCGGGCCACCTGATTTTTATAGATAATGCTTTACTGGAATACAGCCACATCCATTTGTTTACATATTGTCTCTGGCTGCTTTTGTGCAACGATGGCGGAGATGAGACTGTAAGACTTAAAAAGTTGAAAATATTTACTATTTGGACCTTTACAGAAAAAGTTTGCCAAGCCCTGTTGTCATCAAAGGAATCAAGGCCACTGACAGTAAATAACGTTCCTACTACCCCAGGTGAAGATGAAAGCAGTTGTCATGAAAAGGAAGTAAGATGAGATGGAGTAAGTTGTCATTTTAGAGCTGCTAACATCATTATGAACTGTCACTTTCAGTTGGGTTTGGATCAGGAAATAGTAAGACCCATGGAACAAGGGCTCCATTGGCAGAGTTAAATCGATAATAAAGTCCTCTAAGTAGCTACTGCGTTTTATACTTCCAGCATTTCCCCTGCTCTTTCATTCTTTCCTTCAATAATGAAGGAATAATCTAAGAAGCCAATGAGTGTCCAAGTGAAATTTAAGATTACCTCAGAATGCATACAGATTTCTAACTTTTGTCTTAACTGATTATTGAACCTTCATTTTTTTTTTGGTACCACTATTTCTAAAACTTTTTCATCACCCCAAACAAGAATTCATCATTCCTCCCTCTCCCCAGCCCATGGTAACCACTAAAATCTACCTTCTGGAATATGTGCCTACTCTAGATACCTTATGTAAGTGAGATCATACAATATTTGTCCTTTTATGTCTGGCTTATTTCACTTAGCATATTTTCAAGGTTCATCCATGTTTTGGCATACATAAAAACTTCATTTCTCTTTATGGTTGAATAATATTTCATTGTTGTCCTCGTTTATTCATTCATTTGCATTTGGGTAGTTTCCATCTTTTGGCTATTATGAATAATGCTGCAATGAACAACAGCATATTAAGTATCTGTCTGAGTACATGCTTTAAGTTATTTTGGGTACATACATCTAGAAGTAGAATTATTGGGTCATATGTTAATTCTAGGTTTAATATTTTGAAGAACTGCCAAACTGTTTTCCACAGCAGCTGCATCATTTTACATTCTTACCAGTAACAGATTAGGGTTTCAATTTCTCCACATCCTTCCCAATGCTTTGTGGTTTTGATTTGCATTTCCCTAATGACTAATGATGCTGAGCATCTTTCCACATGCTTATTTGGTCATTTGTATATCTTCTTTGGTGAAATGTCTATTTCAAGTTCTTTGCCCATTTTTTAAATTGGATTGTCTTTACTGCTGAGCTGTAGAATTTCTTTATACATTGAGAACATTACACCCGTATCAGATATATGATTTCCAAACATGTTCTCCCATTTTCCAGGTTGTCTTTTCACATTCTTAATAATGTCCTTTGATACACAAAAATTTTTAATTTTGATGCAGTCCAACTCATCTATTCTTTCATTGCTTGTGCTTTTGGTGCCGTATCTAAGCATCCCCTGCTAAATACAAGGTCTTGGAGATTTACTCCTATGTTTTCTTCTAAGAGTTTTATGGCTTTAGTTCTTATATATAGGTCCTTGATCCATTTTGAGTGATTTTCATATATGGTGTGAGGTAGATGTCCAGCTTCATTCTTTTGCATGTAGAGAGCCAGTTGTCAAGCATCATTTCTTGAAGAGACTATTCTTTTCCCATCGAATGAACTTAGCACCCTGTTAAAAATCAACTGGTTATAGATATATGGGTTTATTTCTGGACTGTCAATTCTATTCCATTGGTCTTTATGTCTATCCTTATACTGATACCACATTGTTTTGATTACTGTAGCTTTGTAGTATGTTTTCAAATCTGGACATGTGAATCCTCCCACTTTGTTCTTCTTCAATAACGTTTTGGCTGTTGGCGTCCCTTGCAATTCCATATGAATTTGAGGATCAGCTTTTCCATTTCTGCCCAAAAAGGCTGTTGGAATTTTGACAGGGATTGCATTGAATCTGTATACTGCTTTGGGTAGTACTGACACCTTAATAATATTAAGTCTTTCAGTCCACAAACACAGCATGTCTATCCATTTATTTAAGTCTCCATTAATTTCTTTCAGCAGTGTTTTATAGTTTTCAGTACACAACTCTCTTATCATATTCGTTAAGTCAATACCCATTTTAAGAAGAACTGGTGTTAATTCTTTAAATATTTGGCAGAATTAACCAGTGAAGTCATCTGGCCCTAGACTTTTCTGTGTTGGGAGGTTGCACCTTCATTTTTCTAATTTTCGATAATTTTAAAAAAATATTCAAATAACTGCAACATCTCTGCTGTACAGAATGATGGAGATGCAGTTAACACTGTACTGCCAGCGGCAGTTTAAAACGTCTGCTCATCAGCTGTTGAATGAAAGTCCAAATTCAGTTTAGGAAAGACAGTTTAGAAGTATCACTGTATAATGCAGGTTAGAGAACAGCCTATAATCTACTTGGAGACAACTCTTGGATAAATAAATACACAGTCTTCCTTCCCTGCATTTTACCAGGCCAGCAAAACTGTATTTGTGTAGCTGTACTTTTTAATCTACACCATTTCCTTGAAATTAGGCATATACTTGGATAAAACAGCTGTAAATTAGTTTTCAAAAGGATAACACTAGAAAAAAGTATACCTTAGACACACATATCAGCATAAGCATTTTACAGTCCATCCTTCTGAACTAGCTGTTTCAAATATTCACAGCTAAATGTATTTAAAGAAACTCCAACTGACATCAGTGATTTGTTCTGACAATTTTAAGAAGTTAACTCTCTAAAATCATACTTCTTCTGCTACTTAGAAATTGATCCTGATTTTTAATATTCATTTTATTGGTTCTTTGCTATGGAAGAATATGTCTTCTGGCTTAGTTTTTCTCTGTGGATTAATCCTGCATCTGTTACGTTGAAAAAATATGCAATGTGAAGTTTAATCCTTCAAGCAACTGATGAAGCAAAGCAAGATTACTTATTTTTCATTAACCAGTTCTCTCAATTTCTAGTTTATATGGACATACACTATCTAAAATTTTATAAAGAATGAAAATGACACTTCATGACTATTATGATCAATTTCTTAGCATACCAGTAGCTTAATTATCCCTGTATCTTGGCCAACCGTTTCTTACCTATTTTTTTATCCTTCTTGTTCATAACAAGTTGATGAAGACGTTCCTTTAGTTTATTATATTCACGTTCTTTTCTCTTCATATCATGATTATATTGAGTAGCTCGACTTGCAATGATATTTTGTAATTTTTGTATCTGAAAAAAGCATTTTGTATTAAATAGGTCACTTTAGGGTTAATTAACCCAGTTAGAAGTTTACAAATGCAAAAAGAAAAGAAGTCCTAGTATTCACACCGCCCCCCACCCCCATATTTAAGTTTAAAACTTCTAGGGCTATTTTTTCTTCTCCATGAGCACTCAAAGTCACTTTTTAAAAAACCATTAAATGAATCACAAAGTTTGTATTTAATTGTGAAATTTACAAAGATGCTAACTTTCTAAAATATCTTTGATACACCCTTTACCCTACATATAAGCATTGACAATTTAGAAACCATAAACTCCTACAAAAGTATTAAAGTGGTTAAAGTTTCATCTGAAACAAGCAGAATTCACCAGATCATTAATAGTGACATCCTTATACTACTGACTTGCAATCACTTTCTCATCAATCTGTGTCAAGGTGAATTAGCCAGTGGCACACGGCAGAAGGTCAAAAGCCTCATTTTTCTCTGATCAAAACGGCTCTCAAATTAGAGTAAGTCCAAACAGCAGAAAGAATCCAGCTGAAATATTTGCTGTGTGCCTACTACATGCTAGGTGCTGCTGTTCAATGTTTATATCTACTACAGCTTCTTAGGCAAGTATAGTCTGGTCTACGTAGACATTCTTAAACTCTGCCAAATTTTAACATGATTAACTTAATCTCTGCCAAAGAGAACGATATTCAAACCACTTAAGTGCAGAGGGTCAGCGAAAAAGAGGAAGACCCACAACGAGATGGCCTGACACAGTGGCTGCAACAATGCATTCAAACACAGTAACGATTATGAGGACGGTGCAGGACTGGGCAGTGTTCCATTCTGTTGTACATGGGGTCACTATGAGTCGGAACCCACTCGACAGCACCTAACAAGTGTATTCGACAGATCGAGTCAAAATTTTCTGTGAAATAACTCAAAGAAATGTATAATTAACCTTGTTAAGAAACTTAATTACCCATTTGCTAAATATACCACTAAATAATCAAACACAGTAAAACAAATCTATATAAATTATTACAAGGGTCTTTAAAGAAATATGCTACCCTAAAAGTCTTTGATTAGAGTTAAAGCAACTTATGTAATACGGGAATACTATATTTTTTTCAGTTATCACATGGTCAAGGATCATATTGCAAAGAAAAAATAATAATCGCAGTTTCTTCTTATATAAATTAATGGAGCAAAAGAGAAAGAAGGAAATCAAAGGCTCAAGAAACTAGTCTACAGGCCTGATAACCCACATGAACTATGGCCTCATCAATCCTGAGACCAGAAGAACTAGATGGTGCCCAGCTATCACTAACCAGCATTTTAACCAGGGACACAATAGATGGTCCTGGATAGAATGGGAGAAAATGTAGAAAACTCAAATTCATAAAAAAGACCAGACTTACTGGACTGATAGAGACTAGAAGAACTCCCAAGACTATTGCCCTGAGATACCCTTAAACCTGGAACTGAACCAACTCCTGGAGGTCCCATTTCAGCCAAATAACAGATTGGCTCATGAACAATATCACCCGTGAGTATACTGTGCTCCTTTAAATAATCATCTATATGAGACCAAAGGTTAACACTTATCCTAAAGCAAAATGAGAAGGTAAAGAGGGCAGGGAAGCTAGATTAATGAAAAAAGAACAAGCAGAATGGAAATAATGAGAATGCTGACACATCGTAGAAAATGTAACCAATGTCACTGAAGAATATGTATAGAAACTGTTAAATGGGAACCTAATTTGCTGTGTAAACTTTTACGAAAAACAAAATAAAATATAAAAAATTAAAAAATAATTTAAAATGCATTAAATCTATAGGCCCACATACTAAGCAACCACTAAAGCAGAGATTAGATTAGAATTATGACATCTTTCACCTCAGAAATAAGATTCTTAATGTGCTTTAAAAAAACAACTCTTTTAGTCAAGTAATTGATTGGATAAACAATGTGAATATTTAAGACAGTGCAAGAAGGGTCATGCCAGGTATTACATACATGTATGGCAGAGAAGAGAAGATCTACATTTAAATCAACCCATACCTGAGAAAAAGTTAACAGGGAACGGGAGTCCAGGATGGATAGTATAGGACACTGGTTGTGAAGAGCTATGAACTAATATACTAAGCTGAATGGTTCCACTTGGGATAAGGGGTGAAGTTGGGAGGGTTCCTAATCTCTCAGTTATATATGATACAATACTGTAGCCAGAGACAGGGGTTCACCGTACCAATTAGATGCAGGATGAATAAATGGTTCTGTCTTGTTTTAAAGTGAAGTGGCTCTTATGGTCACCTCAGATGAAAAACAAAACGCACTTAAACTTGACCTACAATAACAGAAAACTCACCTCATCCTTCTCATTTTTAAGTAGCTGATGTAAATTCCTGTTCTTGCATTGTAACTGTCTGTCTCTTTCCTGAAGTCCAATCATTTCCCTCCTGGAGGTTTCCAGCTGTTCCTAAAACATTCATATGCAATCGTGATTAAAATTAACATAGGAGTCCAAGCAACTGAATTCTTGAAAGATCAGTAAAAAAAAAGTTACATATGTTAGCGTTTGTTATGTAAAAATGAAGTTTATATTATTAGTTGCCGTCTAGTTGACTCTGACTCAGGGCGACCCCATGTGTGCAGAGTAAAACCGGCTGTAACCTTTTCAAGGCTGTAACCTTTCAGAAATAGATCGCTAGGCCTGTCATCTGAGGTGCCTCTGGGTGGGTGTGAACCACCAACCTTTCAGAAAGTAGTTGAGCACTTAGCTATTTGCCCAACCTAGGGAACTCTAAAAATAAATTTTAGCTGCACATAAAATGTTTATTTAAAGCAATTATTATAAAGCCCGATACTAAAAAGTTATAATAAAATTTATTTAAATTTAAATACAAATTGTTGATTGTATTACAACCTGAATAATATACAATGATAATATGAGTCCCTAGTATGATTTTGAAGGTCACCCTGTCTCTCCTTCTCAAGTAAATAAACAGTAATAATAAAAAAGGAAAACATAAAGTAGAAAAATAAGAAAGTAAAGCAGAAGCTACCAACAAATGTTCTATATTTGAAGGTAGCTAGCTGGTCAACGGCCTTATTTCCTTTGTTCAGAGAAACAAGTAAGTTTACTATAGCAGTCCTCTGGCCATTGTCTCCTCTGGGGCCCCAGGGGCTTGTAAAAGTTATCCTGAATACTTTCATTATTGAGTTTGAGCTTCTTTGACATAGATGACCTTAAGAATATTTTTCTTGGCATTTTGATGAGTGGCGTCTGGGGTCTTAAAAGCTAGCAAGCAACCATCTAAGATACATCAATTGGTCCCAAGCCACCTACAGCAAAGGAGAATAAAAAACACCAAAGACACAAGGAAAATATTAGCCCAAGAGACAGAAAGGGTCACATAAACCAGAGACTTCATCAACCTGAGACCAGAAGAACTAGATGGTGCCTGGCTACCACCAATGACCGCCCTGACAGGGAACACAACAGAGAATCCCTGATGAAGCAGGAGAAAAGTAGGGTGCAGAACTCAAATTTTAGTAAAAAGACTAGACTTAATGGTTTGACTGAGACTGGAAGGACCCCAGAAGACATGGCCTCCGGACTCTCTGCTAGCCCAAAACTAAAACCATTTCCGAGGCCAACTCTTCAGACAAAGATTAGACTAGACTATAAGACATAAAATGATACTTGTGAAGAGAGTGCTTCTTAGCTGAAGTAGATACATGAGACTGAATGGGCAGCTCCTGTCCGGATGTGAGACGAGAGGCAAAAAGGGACAGGAGCTGATTGAATGGAAATGAGAAATACGGGGTGGAAAAGAGAAGTGTGCTGTCACATCGTAGGGAGAGCAACTAGAGTCACATAACAACGTATGTATAAATTTTAGTATGAGAAACTAGCTTGAATTGTAAATTTTCACTTAAAGCACAATTAACTTAAAAAAAAAAAAAGAATATTTTCTTGGAATTAACTGATGCAGCCTCTCACAGTAAGACTGTGTTTTAAATCAAGCATCTACTTTATTGAGTCAGGTGGAGTCGCAGATGGAGCAGGAGAAAGGTGGGGTGCAAAATTCAAATTCTAGCAAAAAGACCAGACTTAATGGTCTGACTGAGAATGGAGGAACCCCGGAAAACATGGCCCCTGGATTCTCTATCAGCCCAGAACAGAAACAATTTCCGAGGTCAATTCTTCAGACAAGGATTGGACTGGACTGTGAGGAGTGTGCCTCTTAGCTCAAGTAGATAAAGAGACTAAATGGGCAGCTTCTGTCCGGGGATGAGATGGGAAGGCAGAGAGAGGGTTAGGAGCTGGTTGAATGGACATGGGGAATCAGGGGTGGAAAGGAGAAGTGTGCTGTCACAGTATGGAGAGAGCAATTAGAGTCACATAACAATGTATGTATAAATTTTTGTATGGGAAAAAAATTAAAAAAAATAAAGAATACAAAGCTATGAATATAGTATTTGATAAAAAAAAAAAGCAACTGTTTAGAATGAGAAAATAAATCATGGTAAATATATGTTTAAATACTTGACAAATATCAGAAACTTTACAAATACAAAATAATATTGTTATTCATTAACTCCTTGGTATACCTCTATAATGTTTTTCCCTGTTATTTTTGGTTGTGTATTGTTTGATTGCCTCTTCATATAAGTTTGTGCTATGTTCTATAGAGAGAACAGGAATGTAATTCATTATTTCCTCTAGAATGTTTGCTTAAAATCTGTTATTATTAGTAGTATCAATAGTATAAGCAGTAGTGTACGTAGAAGACTATGAGAGTTTCCTTCCATTTCACAGCTCATTATATATGTTTTTAGAAACACTGTCAAAAAAAAGTTTATCAAACTTCTTTCACACATAAGTTTTAAGATTCCAGAATTTCAAATTTTCTCATGCAATGCTAAAATATGCTTTAAACTGGTCACATTCAGAGTTTTTTGCCAAAGTCCTTATTTAGTAGCACAGGAAAATCTTCGGTTATCTTTATTGATGTATTTGTGTCAAATCAGCAAGATATTTGTTTTTTCAATGTTTTATTATTCATGCCTCTTCATTAAAGAGGACTATCAAACGATAAATAAATAACTTGCCCAAGGCCACATCTCTAGTTTAAAATTTTTTAAAGCAATGAAACATTTTTCCAATTAGAGCCCCAATAATGAAAACAGATGAGAGCAGAGTGGTGGAGGAAGGGATTCTGGGTCACAAAATTCCAGCACGCCATAGAATACAACTGGAAAACCATCCCCTAATCACAAGCTGAGGGCCAGAGAAGGAAATAGGACTGTCCGAGATCACCAGGGCTGGCTAACAGTGAAGCTAGGAGGCATGGGTCTTCTGGAGTCCACTCAGTGCCCCTTCCAGCACTATGCTTCACTAATGGAGGGCCTCCCCATGAAAAGTTGATCTCTCCTTTAACTACCACTGGACTGAGAACTTAGTTCTGTGCACATAGCACTTACTATACCAACTGGTGTCTGTGTCCCTTCTGCCTCCTAACTCATCTCTTAGGTTCTTGAGAGCAGAGACTGTGCCTGTTTCATCTTTACGGCCTCCCAGGTACCTAGCACAGAGAATGACACCCAGCAGGAACACAGAAAAAGTTTATTTAAAAAATGGATGTTTTGATAAGTAAAGCATTACTGAAGAAAAGAACAAAGTGGGAGGCCTCACGCCACCTGATTTCAGAACCTATTATACTGCCACGGCAGTCAGAACAGCCTGGTATCGATAAAACAGATACACAGACCCGTGGAACAGAATTGAGAACCCAACCGTAAATTCATCCACCTATGAGCAGCTGATATTTGACAAAGGCCCAAAGTCTGTTGAACGGGGGAAAGACAGTCTCTTTAACAAACGGTGCTAGCATAACTGGATATTCATCTACAAAAACAAATGAAACAAGACCCATACCTCACATCATGTACAAAAATTAACTCAAAATGGATCAAAAACCTAAATATAAAATCTAAAACAATAAAGATCATGGAAGAAAAAAATAGGGACAACGCTAAGAGCCCTAATACATGGCATAAACAGGAGATACACTATAGCTAACAATGCACAAATACCAGAAGAGAAACTAGATAACTGGGAGCTCCTAAAAATCAAACACTTAGGCTCATCGAAAGACTTCACTAAAAGAGTAAAAAGAGAACCTACAGACTGGGAAAAAATTTTTGGCTACAACATATCCAATCAGGGTCTAATCTCTGAAATCTACAAGATACTGCAACATCTCAACAACAAAAATAACCCAATTAAAAAATGGGCAAAGGATATGAACAGACACTTCGCCAAAGAAGACATTCAGGCAGCTAACGGACATGAGGAAATGCTCACGATCATTAGCTATCAGAGAAATGCAAATCAAAACTACAATGAGATACCATCTCACCTCAACGAGGCTGGCACTAGTCCAAAAAACACAAAAGAATAAATGTTGGAAAGGTTGTGAAGAAACTGGAACACTTATGCACTGCTGGTGGGAATGTAAAATGGTATAACCACTTTGGAAAACGATTTGGTACTTCCTTAAAAAGCTAGAAATAGAAGTACCATACAACTCAGCAATCTCACTCCTTGGAATATATCCTAGAGAAGTAAGAGCCATCACAGGAATAGACGTACGCACGCCTATGTTCATGGTAGCATTGTTCACAATAGCAAAAAGATGGAAACAACCTAGGTACCCATCAACAGACGAATAGATAAACAAATTATGGTACATACACACAACGGAATACTACACAATGATAAAGAGCAATGATGAATCCGTGAAACATCTCACAACATGGATGAATCTGGAGGGTATTATGCTGAGTGAAATTAGTCAGTTGCAAAAGGACAAATATTGTATGAGACCACTATCATAAGAACTCAAGGAAAGGTTTAAACACAGAAGAAAACATTCTTTGATGGTTACAAGGGTGGGGAGGGAGAGGGGAATTCACTAACTAGATAGTAGACAAGAATCATCTTAGGTGAAGGGAAGAGCAACACACAACACAGGAGAAGTCAGCACAAATGAAACAAAGAAAAAGCTAAGAAGCTTCCTGAACACAACCAAACACTCTGAGGGACAGAGTAGCGGAGGCTAGAGCCTGGGGACCATGGTTTCGGGGGACTTCTAGGTCAACTGGCATAACAAAGTATTAAGAAAATGTTCCGCATCCCACTTGGGTGAGTGGCATCTGAGGTCTTAAAAGCTTGCAAGCGGTCATCTAAGATGCATCAATTGGTCCCAACCCACCTGGAGCAAAGGAGAATGAAGAACACCAAAGACACAAGGAAAGTATTAGCCCAAGAGACAAAAAGGCCACATAAACCAGAGACTTCATCAGCCTGAGGCCAGAAGAACTAGATAGTGCCCGGCTACCATCAATGACCAACTTGACAGGGAACACAGCAGAGAGTCCCTGATGGAGCAGGAGAAAAGTGCGGAGCAGAACTCAAGTTCACGAAAAAAGACCAGACTTAATAGTCTGACTGAGACTGGAGGAACCCCTGAAGCCATAACTCCTGGACACTCTGTTAACCCAGAACTAATACCACTCCCGAAGCCCACTCTTTAGACAAAGATTAGACTGTATTATAAGACATAAAATAACAGTCGTGAAGACTGTGCTGCTTAGTTTAATCAGATACATGAGACCAAATGGGCGGGTCCTGTCCAGAGGCAGGGTGAGAAGGCAGGAAGGGACAGGAGCTGGCTGAATGGACACAGAAAACCAGGGTGGGAAGGGGGAGTGTGCTTACAGGGATTGCAACTAATGTCACATAACAATATGTGCATACATTTTTGTATGAGAAATTAACATAAGCTGTAAACGCTCACCTAAAGCACAATTAAAAAAAATAAGGATGGTTAAAAAAAAAAAAGATTGAGTGGGGTGGGGAAATTCTTATTTTATTTTCTTAAGACATAATACTTCCTAATCTAACCTTCTACAGATTCACCAAGTCATTAAATAGTTCATAAAATCAACGTCTTCAATACAGATATCAGGAAGCAGAAAGTATGACTGATTTGTACAAATTACTTTAATATGACTTTGATTTACCAGTTGAAAAAACCCTGAAACATAAAAAAATTAACACTCAAATGTGTTTGATAAAGTCACTGAAAATTTACAGAATTAAATTACATAATGGCATTCAAATGCGGATCAATGCACAATTTCTACCTTAAGTTTTGCATAGCAGCTCTGTAGATGATCCATATCACTTCCCAGTTTCAGATTCTGTGTTTCCACATTTTCCTGAGCTAGAAGGTTCTTCCGCTGAAGTATAAGTAGTTCATTCATACAATTTAAAACAGCAACTATATTTAATTCTCTCTTTGCCTCTTTACCTTTGGATTCTTCATATAATGAAGGAAAGCCGAAAGTAGTCAATTCCTGGTAGGAGAAAATGTTTTTCTGAAGTTGATCACTGAACAAAAGATAAAAACTATTGAGATAATTAAGAAAATAGTAAATATCCCAAGGACAAAGAGTTCAGTGAGCTGGTCTCTTTTAGCTTCTTTCTGCAATCACCTGTGACCAGGATGGAGCAAGGAACTTAGGTTTCTGCATCAGTAAAATGAAGGCTGGACTCTCAGTGGAGGAGCTGCTGGGGTGGGAGAGGCCAAGTTGCTCCAAACAAGAAAGTTGCCTTTCTTACCAGACTAGATGATCATCAAGGTTTTCTGCAAATCTAAGTCCCAGGCCAATAAATCACATACTTGTGCTTGACAAATGCTTTCATATAACTACGATATGTTCTATTATATAACATGATTTACTCTACTCCTTCTTACAAAAAGACAGGTTACCTGATCAAGATATGAAATACTCTGCTCAATATTCTCTTCTGTGCAGAAGGCACTGAAAAAACTGTGCACATTTTTTGATAAAGGTATTGAAGAACATAGCACTTGATGTGAGTATAAACTTGATGGAGACATCTTTGTTTCTGAGGTATATTGAGAGAGATTTTTGCTTTCTGAAAGAATAAAAGACATTTATATACATAATTTATAAAAATGCACACAAAGCTAGCATAATCCACATTACCAAAGACTCTGAATTATATATATTTAAATATTTTAAAATAAGGACAAAGCTATTTATATATGAAAATTATATACCTTCTTCTAAACAGATGTAACTATAAAGTGGTGTTCTCAGTAGGCATACTGAGTTACAATATACATCAACTTTCTTTCCAATAGTACTTAGGTTTATAAAAATAACAGACAAAAGCTAATCATCTATGCCACTTAAAGTTTGAGATTAAAGAAGTAAATCAGAGAAATGTATTGAAGTAGCCACTGAATATATTTCAAATGCATAAAAATTCTCTCAATACAACCAAATAATCTATTATTCATTAATTATGGCACAATTTCTTAGCTATTGCTGACAATTTCACTGAAGACGAAAATTAGATATTTTACAACAATATGTCTCTCTCTAGTAACACTTTTGATATTTGTAATTATAGTTTAATTGAAAATTCATCTTTACATTACTGCTTTACTTTACAAGCATTTTAGACTCAGTTACCTGAAGACAGACTTGGATCTGTAACAGTCATCCAATCTCCCATAGCAAGGATACCTGAGGAACTAGTTCAGCAGTGAAGCATTTAGTTCAGCTGCTGTCACTCTTCAATGTAGGCATCTCCTTAAAAAGCAAATTACAGAATAACACCATCTAACATAATTAAAAATACGAAAGCAAATATAGAACCAATGTGTGAAGTTAGCTGTATGTGCTTCCAAACAGAAAGATTTTAACATATTTACTCTTATGCACAGATACAGAGATACAGGAGAGCTAAAACACACACACACACACACGCACACGCACACGCACACGCACACGCACGCACACACACACACTCACTCACTCACTCCAGAGGTTAAAGGCGTCCCAAGTTTTACTGAGGAATTCACATTACTTCATATACAGAGCACATTATCTGATTCAATATAAATCTAAGGTACAGCACTGTACTAAGTAATAAATATTTCTAAAGTATATACTTTAAAATAAAATACTATTCTCATTTACGTAGAGGAGAAGTCTCATCTTGACTATCATTTCCATTCTTGCTTTTACTAAATTTAATTAAATTTAAATTAAATTTAATTTACTAAATTTACAAAAATTTTCCTTTGAATTACAATTCCTACCACTGGCACAGATGTAAGGAATTGAACTACCAGCCAAATTGCAATATATATAAGTCTTAAAAATGAAATCCATAAATTTCCACTTCTAAAATGTTATCCTAATAATTATATGTTCAAAGATTCATCTACAAGTTGCTCCTGAAAACAGCGAAAAAGTGGACATAACTTGTAAGTTCCACATTAGGGGACTGGTTAAATAAATGATACACTTATACAACAGAACACTGTGTAACCTTTAAACATAATTATGTAAACTAGGATGGCTAACAAGTACCTAAGAGTCCAGAAATACAAATAAATGAAGTGAACTAAGTGTAAAAAACACATAACCTTTTCAGTCTATCATTTGTATTTTCACTTTTTAAGAGAGATAATAGAAGAGAGAAATATTTCTCCAACTTAAGAAAAACAATTCAAATGAAATTATAAATGGCAACTGGAAATTGATTTCAAGGTCAGGGACAAGAGGAGGGGTGAAGACTGCAGGCAAACCAGGGAACACATGCCAACATATGGGACAGCTGCTTCTAGGCTACAATAAACTGCAGCCAAAAGAGAAAGCAGGTCTATGTTACAATACCTTTAAAATTTTTAAGAGATGTTAGAATTCTGGATTTTTATGTGAAGTCTCCCAATTTTTAAATGTCAGAAGCCAATTAAAAAAAATTTGTTTAACATAAACTATGCGAGTTATCCTAGGGAGAGGGCAGTGACTGAGGGGGGATACAAGAGAGCCTTCCGGAGTGCTAGGAATGTTCTGTCACATGCGTATTCACCTAAGTACAATTCAACAGTTTGCACACCTAAGATGTGTGCACGTGACTGTATGTAAATTATGCCTAAACAACAACAACGGATAAAAGTTGTCTTTAGGCTAGATCGGGACTGTGGATTAAGAGTTCACAATCCGTGTTCTGGAATATTTAAAACTGAGGGAAAATATTCACAATAGAATGTTAAAGTTAGATGAAAATTTTCACTTGTTCAATTTTAACTGTGTTTTCTAGGCACAAGTAAAGAGACTCTCTCAAGAAGCTCACATTCTGGTGGGAGTAGAAACAGATGATAAAGAAGTAAGTAATAAACTAAATTAAATAGTAAATAAAACACTTTGAGAAAGATGAAAGCTATAAAGAAAATAAAAAATCCGAGAGAGTGCTGGGTGGGAAGTGTCTAGATTAGTCAGGGAAGGCTAATTAAGATAGGAACATTTGAACTGAGATCTGAATAAGAAGTCAGCCACAAGATGATCAAGGGACCAGAGCAGCCCAGGGAGAGGGAAAAAGTCCAAAGACCCCAGGATGGAAATAAACTTAGTAGGTGTGAAAAACATAAAGAAGGCAATATGTTTGAAGGACAGTGAGCAAGGCTGGAGAGGAGGCATTTTGCTTTTCTCTAAATTGCAATGAAAAGCTATTGAAGAATTTCAGCAAGAAAGCAAACCGCTCTCCTTTCCACTTTAAAAAAGATCACTCCGGTTTCTCTGTGGATAGACTGTAGGTGGCCAATAGCGGAGGCTGCAAAAAATTGGGAAGATACTGCAATAGTCCAGGCAAGACAATCAGGCTTATGCTACAGCTCTGAGAGAGAGGTGGATGAATCTGGAATGTATTCTGAAGACAGAAACTTTAGAATTTGCAGATGGATTGGAATGTGGGCAAAAGACAAATTAAGGATGATTCCTTGGTCATATAACAGCATACAATATATACTCATGTAGATTATGTTATGTGTTGTGTTACATGATATGACGTTACACACACACTTGACTATCTGGCATAAATAACAATTCTAAAATCTGCAACAAAATGCACTGTCACTCTTAATAAGAGTTGGACACAGATCCTTAGATAAACAAACAATAGGTAGTCGGCTAATTCTTTGTAATCATTAGGTTTGGGGAGGAACAAGACTCTTTTTGTTCTTTTAAAATATTTGTAAATAAGAAACAATAGTGCACCGTCTTTTCTCTTCATACAGAAAGATCATCAGACACCAAAATGTGTCTACTACTGACCCATTCTAATTTTAAAATTACAATGTTAAGTCAGTTACTCTTTCTCTGTAAATTCAGGTCCTCCAGTGTTCACAGGCTTAGACAGAGAATTTTCCCATGAAAAACAACCAAACCAAAGCCATTGCCGCTGAGTCAATTCCGACGCACAGCAATCCTACGGGACACAGCAGAACTGCCCATAGGGTTTCCTGCCCATAGGGTTTCCAGGGAGCAGCTGGTGGATTTGAACTGCCTACCTTTTGGTTAGCAGCCGAGCTCTTAACCACTCCGCCACCAGGGCTCACAAAACTGCGAAGTATTCAGGTCTAGTTTAATGTTCACAATGAAAACCAAAACTCTGTTTTGAAGACCTATGAAACAAAGAACTTACTAACAGTGTATGATTTCACACAAGCTAAAAGTTTCCACATGTTCTTCTCTGTTCAGTGATGTACTGAATTATACACTGTGAGACTTGTGATAAAGGGAAAGCTACCTGCTCAGTTTTCCAAAGAAAGGAGAATTAAAACTCTTAATTAATATGCATCCCCAAACCAAAAGAATCGTTAGTTAAGCAGAGTAGTCTATTCTAGGCTCAATTACAGCCAAAATTTCACTGTTGAAGGTCATTAATTATTTTTTATGAAGGTGTTAGAATAAATCCATTTTAATTTCAAAAGAAAAAGAAAAATGGTAACAAGTAACAAAAGCAACTCTACTTTGCAAAAATCTGACATCATCACAAGGCCATCTTAACTTGAAAGCTTCAAAGGAAGCCAAGAAGGACTCCATTACAAACCTGGGGCTGGTACACAGAGTTAACTTCCATATTACAGATTAATAAAGTCACAGCAAGCCCTTATATAGTGGACATGATTACGCATGACGAGTCACACAAGAACAAACCTGTTTTTACCAGCATTGTTACTATAGCTTCATTAGAAGATGGGAGCAGAAAAAAAGCTAACAGTGAATCATGGTTTGGTCCAAGTAATCTGTAAAGCTCAAAATTCTCTCTATATACAAAATTCTCTATATTGGTTACGGTAGTAGTTTCCAACATAGGTCAAATTCATGAGTGAATTTTATGAGCAAAACTTGAAGAATTTAACACCTTGTAAAAGCCATTTCATTTATCTAAGATTACTGGGGAACAATCTTGAAATAAAGCAGGAAAAAAAAAACAAACTATAATATATAAATAAATAAGAATTTTCCTTCTCCTCTTCTCAACATCATAGAGACATCATTTTGTTTCCCCCTAGTGGATAACATCTACATGGCTACCTAATAAACTTCCCTATTCCAAATACTTTCCAATGTAGATTCCAGTTAACAGAAATTCTAGTTGTAGTAAAATTACGATAATTTCAGTAAAAATGTTATTTTACTATCTTTGAAGAAAGGCTTTGTCTTCAATTTTATACTGCTAAAGTATCAATGCCATATACTTCAGGTGTAGTATGAACAAGGGTACTCTGGTCTTTTGTGAGATAAAATGATTATGCAAAGCTTGAGAATTATCTAGTAGTGAAGGACGCAGTGAGACACTTGAACTTAGTATAACTAGGAAGCAGTGAGACACCTGAACTTAGGACAACTAGGAAGCAGTGAGGAAAAGTAGGAATCAGTGAGACACTTAGTATAACGGTATACTTTCTGAAAAAAAAAAACAAAGATCCTAAGTTTCATAAATCCATCATTCTTCATATCAAAGCATTTTTTTCGTATGTATTTTCTCTATATTACAGACAAGAAACTAGGACTCAGGGAGGTCAACTAGACTACCCAAGGTCACATTTCGAATTGGCTGTCAAGTCAGGACACAAATCTCAGTCTTCAAAACACTGTGCTCTTTTAATGACATCATTTGCCTTTCAATATTTTACAGGCAGATTTATACATACAGCAGTTAACAGAATAAAAAAAGATTTTCATCAAGTTTCTTTTAAAGACTGTTTCCACAATTCACTTTAAATGATTCCATTAAGAACATACAATTCTTAAAGGCACTTATCTCCTAAAGGCACTTATGTCCTACTTAAATTAAGACACACCTGTAAAAAGTCTTCTCTTCTAGCCCACAAACAATAGCCTCTTTCTCATTTATAAACACTTTGCTTTGGAAAGGCATAAAAACAGTTTAAGAAATCATTTTATACTAAGTTTAATGAAGGTGGAATTAAATAACCAATTTTACCATTTTCTATCCTAGAGTAATTATTATTTAAGGCAACACAGACTGTTAGCAGAAACATTTGTGAACTTTTCTTATGGAAAAAAGTTCCCTGGCTAGTATATCTTCTTCCTTCAATTCCAAAGACTCAGGGGTTCTCAATATACATCAACCACATCTAGAGCTGGAGTAATTAGTCTCTAAGATGGTCTCCAATTATTCCTGCCTCTTGGTGTACAACAGAATACAGCAGAAGGCATGGGATTTCACTTCCAAAATTCAGTTATAAAAAGGCTGTGGCTTCTATCTTACGGATGTCATCTCTCACTCGCTCGCTCTCAGATCCCTTGTTCTGGGGAAAGCAAGCTGCCATGTTGCGAGCAGCCCTATAAGAGGCCAACGTAGCAAGCAACTGTATACATTTCTGTATTCCCTCCACTAAGGGAGTAACCAATGAGTATTCAGAAAATCGATGATATAACGT